ACCTCTAAATCAGTCAAGAAGTGGATGGCCTCAGGCAGTGTTACTAGGCGGTTTTTATTCAGCACCAGCTTCTTCAGCTTGCCACACCTAGACAACACAAAACCACATGTTCACATAACCGCATATTCTTGTGTGGTGACAAAATGTGTTGTGTACAGATGACCAAGACACTTTTACATAGCTGTTCAATTTGGCTGATAAAATTAACTTTGAATGGTTCTTCATAAAGACTCAGTCTTTAAGGGAAACATGTTAGAGTCTGAATCGAGATTACAAATATTAAGTTGCCGTGTATCAGCCGATCATAAAAAATGTCAGTCGAGCAATGCAGAATGAAAATAGCATGATTTCAACTGGTGGCTCATCAATCACAGCACCCTGAAACTTTTTGTCAAACTCACCTGCAGAGGCCCTCTGGGATGAGTTCCAGGTTGTTGTTGGCGGCCATGAACTCGGTGAGGCTGGACAGTTTGCCCACGCCTGGCGGAACCCCATCAAAGTCCAGTTTGTTAGAGTTTACATACAGCTTCTTCAGTTTGGCCAGCTTACAGATTGCAGACTGGATGAAGACACGCAAGCAAACTTAAACCGTTAAAACATTTTAAACAAATTACAAAAGGAAATGCATATAAATACTACTCAAACTAAATTATAGATCGCTCTCTAAAGGGTTGGTTCACCCACATTCACATGTTTCTCTGTAGTCAGCCATACAGACAGTTTGCACCGATCACCACCCAAACAGAATCAAATTTAATGTGTGGTTTAATATTGAAACAACTCCATCTACACAGCTTCTTTTTTTTTTTTTTTTTTTAAACACTGGTAGTAAAAACAGCATGGCTTCTCGAGAAAGACGTAGAACTATTATTGTCCTTACGGGCAGTGAGGTGAGCTGGTTGCGGCTCAGGTTAAGCGTCTCCAGCTGAGTCCACTGGTCAATGCAGAGGGACAGTTCTGAGATCTGATTAGTGCTCAGGTTGAGTCTCTTCAAACTGCTCAGTGAATAGAGGCACTCTGGCAACCGAGTCAGGTCGTTACATGACAGGTCAACATCTGGGAGAGACGGAGGAGACCGAAGGGAACACATGCTCGTAAAAAGTTTGTTTCCCCAGACAGAGAGTAGTACGATATATACACAAAGCGACACATTTGTGAAAAATGTACAACATTGCTCAGTCAATGTAAGAAGGAAAATGTCCCTAAATATGTGGAAGAAACAAGAGAGTGGTGTGTGTGAGTGTGTGTGAGAGAGAGATACCTGCTAAATGTGTCAGACCCTCCAGGCTGGTCGGCATGTTGCTCTGGGTCCTCTGGGTGTTCCTCAGATGGAGAGTCTGTAATGCCACCATGGCTGGCAGTTGGCTGCTCAGACAAACAGAGAATTAAATGAATGCCTATTTTTGTTTTCTAAATAAACGTACCACAACGATTTAAGCATAACATGAGGCCTGTGAATTTAGGATTAGGGACAGAGGTAACACAAAATAAACTAAATAATTTCCTCTTACCGCAACTGTGCATGCATCAAGGGGTTGTTGTTCAGTGTGAGTGTCTGCAGGTGAACCAGGCGTCTCATCTGCGGTGGCAGGCTGTCCAGCTTGTTGTCGCTCAGGTCCAGATACAGCAGGTCTGTCAGGTTGATAAACAGCTGGTTGGGGATGGAGTCGATGCTGTTGTGGCTCAGATTCAGCACCAGCATGTTCCTGCTGTTCTCCAGGTCCCGGGGGATCTCTGACAGCTGATTGTAACTCAGGTCCTGGAGGAAATGTATCGTTATTGTGATTAATTGAAAAAGAGCGAAGGTAATAGGTGTAAAGCTATTCAAGTGTTTGATAAGCAGAGAGGGGGGGGGGGGGGTTGTGAGATATTATTATGTACCAGCACAGAGAGGTCATCGAGCTGAAAGATGTCATCAGGGACTCCAGAGTTTTTCAGGTTGTTGGCTCGGGCTACCACCGCCTGCACACATAGTGAAAAACATGTAGGACTCTATCATAACTACACATTGGTACAAGTAGAAACAGGCCATAGTCAGAGCATTAGATTGGCAGTGCTTATTCTTATTGCTCGTGGTAGAAATCGGCATGTGCTCAATGTGTATTTTCTTTATGCATGTGTGGGTGTCACTTACCCGGAGGTTTGGTAAGCTGGACAGTTCTCCATGCAAAGTGGTCAGGCTGTTGTGACTCACTGAAAGATGCTCCTAAAAAAGAGAAAAACAAGAGGTTTTGTTTACAGACACAAAACAAAGCATTATTTAAAACCCCATAAAAACACTACATGGTGCCCCGGTCACTGCTGTGCAATATACTTCTTGCACTAATGCCCATTTGTCTCCAAATAAAATGATTTAACTGCAAACAGGATAAAATCAAGGCAGATAAACAAACCCCAGACACTGCGACTCATAGCCACAATAACAGACTAATCTTATGTACTTACACCTGATCAGCTTTTAACAGTGGCCGGCTGATTGCAGCTTCGGAGGTTTAGATAAGATAATCCTATCAAAGATATTGGGCATTAAAGTATGGCTGTGTGTGTTCTTAATGAGGTGCTGTTAAAATGCACCAATGTGCTGATGCAATGTCCTTTGTTACCCATACATCAAGTAAAGAAGGTGTTTTATCAACAATGCAGTAATAAATGGCCCATCAAAGTAGATGAATATAGGTTGAGACAAAAACAAACAGTGCATTTAAAATAACATTTCACAAATACATACAATACACTGTTACCATTACTGACAATATAGAAAATAACACTACTACCATTGTGGCAGCGGTAAAAACAAAACAATAACAAAAAAGGGGAATTAAAGGGTGTCCATTCATTATAATGAAGACTGATTTGAGGACAGAACAGAAACACAAATGATATGAGTCAATAGCTTTATATTTACAGATGTGAGGATAAGCCAATACAACCAGCAAACAGCCCTAAATGTCTCACCAGCTTCTGCAGAGAGGCCAGCTCCTCTGGGAGGTAGCACAACCCCGTCCTGTTCAGTTTCAGCCATCGCAGACTGCTCATACACTTGACATGCTCTGGAAAGTACCCGCCCTGCAGAGGACAGATACGGGAGAGAGGTAGGAGACACACATGAAGAGGAGAGAGAATGATATCAGTAATACTGGTATTGACTTTATTGGAGGAATGATATCTCTTTGTAATGTCCAATAGTGATAGAGTTGGTGGAGTTGAACATCATTTCCAAGTCATTGCCCTAATGTATCAAAGGCTGCATATTTACCATGTGAAGAATACAGAAGACTGAGAACAGTAAATTGATGTCAACTACAAAATTAGAAGTTGACATCATCCTTATTATTTTCATCGTCATTATGGGTCAGTACAAATAACTACATGAGTAAGTGCAGCAGACACTGTGATGTTCAGTCTATATTATCTTCTACAGTCAGGATAAGAAAGCTGAGATGTAACAGCCGATATGATCTTGGGCACAACTTGTATGAGGATATGATGTCATTCTACACTACCTTAAATCAGAACATCAGCCATTCACTAACTGATAGATAAACCAGTTATTTATACAGCTTATCTGTACTAACGCTACCTTCCATACCAGCATGGAAGGTAGCGTTAAGCAACATTACGCAAAATGTTTCAAATACGTACCAGATGATCTCAGCTGTCACTGCTGCTTTTTCAGTCTACCAAACTGAGCTCGCAAAGTGTGCCAAAACCAACAAGTATGACGACATTGAGTCACTCTGAAATGTTAGCTGACGTCATTGTTTGTGGCCTTATACTTGTCTAATTTAAACGCTGAGGAAGCTGACATGTTGTGACACGAAGGTTGTGCTTCTAATCCAGACAGCCAGAGTTAGCCAACAGTAGAGCTAAATTAGCTAGCTATCGTGACGTTGGAAACAAGAGCTAGCTACGTTATCACAAACTACCCAGAAGTATGTAGATAACCGCGTACAATGTAAAGAAGCAGCGCTATGTTACCTTAACTAACCCATTCCCCTTAACAGACAACTGTAAACCACAGGACGCTTATGGCCGACACCAGACTGCTATGTTGTCCATGTCAAAAAGCTGTCAACTGGCTAACGCCCAACGCTAGTAACGTTAAGCTAAGCTAGTGTTTAGCGAGCTCACCCGTAAACCGTTTGTTGTGAGATAACGTCAGCTAGCTAAACGTGTTAGTTGCTCAACACCGGTGGCTTTAAAAATGATTGAATATTGCTTACTTTGAAGTCGTTTCCACTGAGGTCTACCCCTCTAATGAAGGGAAGCACTCCGGTGGAAGCCATTTCTGGTTTATGTCACAGCTGCTCAGCCCTCTACTGTCTATTTTGGTCCAGGGTAATGAGGCGCTGTGGCAAACTACTCTTCTTCTTTTGATTTCTAGTGGTGGTTGACAACCACAGTTTCGGGTGCATTATCGCCCCCCTGTGCTTCGGAATGTGTACCACAGATTAAAATAGTTTGTGTTCAGCGCCCTCCAGTGGTCATCAGGGATTACGACACAACCAGGGTCGCGTGGGTGTCCCAATATCTATGAGGACTTGCTAGTTGATCAATACGCCATACTATTTAAAAGCCGAGACAGCAGTCTCTGTTTGAAGGAAATGCGTTTCTATAATATGGCCTTTATTCAAAGGAACGTCTTCATTTTCTTCTTATTCTTCTTCTACTGGACTGAAGTGTGGGGCATTACATTACAATTAAAGTCTCAGGGATTTGTCTATGTTAGCTGAAGGGAAGGGATGAGTTGCTCATTTCTTCGTGACAAGCTCTTTGATCGTGGCACATAATGCAACAAACACTGCTGTGCACAGCTAAATGTCAAGTCATTTCGTGGGAGCAAGTGTAAAGCCGGAAAAGATACCATTTGATTTCAAAATAAGACAACTTCCGCTCAAGCTTACAATTGTTGTTGTTGAGGACGTTTCTTCATAAATATTTTATTTTGAAAGCAGTGGAATCGGAAGAGTTTCACGTATTCTTAAACGTGATGACATAATTCAGGAAACCTCACAGTCAGCTGTGCCGTTATATGTCCGGCGCTTGGCAATTCAACGAAAATAAAAAATAAAAAAGGTATTTTGGGGTTTACATTATGGACAAGAATGCTACGCGATACAATGTACAACTATATATTTATGATCTATCGAGAGGGATGGCTCGCAGCCTCAGCCCCATCATGTTAGGTAAGTATGCAGATAAAAAATCCGATGCAACCGGCCGGGCCTTGGGGACTAATGAGTGATAATAACACCCGGTGGAGATGCTTCCTGTGGCTTGCATAGTTACGTTGCTTGCATACAGCTGTTGCCGTGCAGTGTACCGATCTTTGATTAACTTACCAAGGTCGAGTTATTTTTTAATACATTTATTTTGAAAATATATTGTAAAGCGTGAGTGATTTATGTTCATCCTCAGGAATGGTTCTTTAATTGGCTGTTGACGTCAAACTATACACGTGTAATCTACAGCTCCACGGAGCTGCTTGCAGAGAAGATCATCTACCTCACTACTGTTTCCCTTTTTGTTACAGGAAAGCAACTGGATGGTATATGGTACGCTGCTTCTTTCTGTTACTCTGACAGCTGGCTTGCTTGGGATCTAAAATATTGACCTTCTAAATCATGAAAGCATTGCTTCTCATGTAATGTGTGGATCCATCAGGTGTAGACCCCAGAGCAGATAGGCATTAGAATCCCTGATAAATCATATAAACCTGCTGAAAACAGCTACTGACAATGTGTCTAATGATTTTCTCATTTTGATACTAAGTGGTTTTTATTTGTTTTGTTTTGAATAAAGTAATTTCAGAAAATGTAGGAAATCATAAAGTGAAGTATAATTAGACCCAAAACAACTAATCTCACATTAATAATCAAGCATGGGTCTATCTAAGGCTAGATTTTCTGTCATTACTGTGTAATAAATGAGTCATTAGGTTGTCTGGCTTGTTATTTGGTAAAAAAGGCTCTGACTTACAATTTCTAAATAAATCCAGGTAATATTGTTCTGATCTGAATTTAGTTCTGTGTTCTTTTTGTACTTTTCTCAGGCACACAGCCATAGTGGTGTACGGTGATGAGTTCTTCTATGGAGGGGAGGGGATCTCTAGCTGTTCGCCGGTAAGTCTGTAAGAAGCGGACTGACTCCTTTCACAAGTTTCATTGAACAAGCTCATGAAGAGAATGCCTGCACACCAAGAGTTACAGCCACAGGCTGATTCTATACTGCTTTGAATGGGTGTGGACCAATGAGTGTTAATAGTGTTCTTTTGGACTGTAAACTAAAACGCCCACTGTTTTATGTTTTCATCTAAAGCTATCTTTAGTTTCATTTAACAAAAATAAGTTATTTCCTAACCAGCTGGGGAGTGTAGTTTTTATCAAACTACACTGCCCAGTGTAGTTTGGTTTGTAGTGATTATTTCTGGCAGCAAGTATGTGGGATTGACTCAAAGTAAACTTCAGCTCCCAAAGTTCATTGTAATGAAGGAATTTGTCACTCAGTGCGGCAGTGTGGCTCATTGCTTTGGCTACACAGACAACACTTGTTAGAGGATAAATGCATGGTTGGTTTTGGTCTTTTTAAGAAAAATATCGAATATAAAAAGATATAAATAAATAACATATACAAATGGATAAAATCTAAAAATACAGAATATCGCTAGCCTCGATTTAATCTATCTTTTAGCAGTTATCCATGCAAATCAGAGAAACAGCTCGAACACAATGGGCCTAGAGTATCTGTTCCTTTAACTATCGGACCACTTTTCAACAGCTCTCATAAAATGTGTGAATGTTGTGAACGTTTTCCATTTGCCTGCTGTGTGTTTGTCAGGGTGGGACGATGCTGGGGCCTCCAGACACAGTGGTAGAGCTGGGCGAGACAGAAGTGTCTGAGGAGATCTTCATGGATTACCTCTCTTCCCTGGGAGAAGGCACATACAGGTCGAGTAGCTGTTATCCAGCCGAAGAATTCCCAATAATAATAATTGGGACTCCCAATAAGTTCTCAAAGTTTGTTTATCCTACCGTGTGGCTAAATTCACGAGTCTAACCATACTTGTTACTGTAGTCACAATATATGAAAGCTGTTACCTGATGCATTAACTCTCTTCCATTCTCTCCTCTGTTCAGAGGTGACAGGTATCGTCTGTTTGAGCACAACTGCAACACCTTCACCAACGAGGTGGCTCAGTTCCTGACGGGCGGGTCCATCCCGTCCTACATCACCGACCTTCCATCGGAAGTCCTCTCCACGTGAGTGTGAAAACTCACAGTCTGTCAGCTGTCAATGTCTTCAATCAAGTCTGTCGTCTGTGCCTGTTTCCAATTTTTGTAATGCTGTCCTTCCACTTAAAAAAAAAAACCAGCTAAAATGTTCATTATATGCTTCTCTACCCTCAGGTACTCTGAGAACGTATGGTTTATTGTGACATGTGAACTATCTATTCTGTGTTCATATGTCAATTTACTGTTGTGCAATCTTGAATGAAGTTGCACAAATTTCAAACTTGTTTAGAGAGCAAAATACAAAGTGCATTTCTTGGAAAAGACATGATATAAAACACTTTGTTAACCCAACTGGAAACAATAGTGAATACAGTCTGTTAATATGCAGTTACGCACATACTGTATGAGTAGGGTTTACATGGTTGGTTTAGGCATGAATAAAAGTGCAATTATTATGTAATGTTTCAGTCTAAAACAATCAAATCTCTTTTTTGCATCTCCAGACCATTTGGCCAGATACTGCGGCCCATTCTGGACTCCATCCACATCGCCCCTCCAGGAGGTAACGTCATCAACGGAGGAAGAAACATGTAATCTGAGAGAGCAGCAGAGTTACCGAGTGCTCACCAGGTCACTTTTATTGTAGTCAGACAGTCAAACTAAACGTCTTTCTTTCTTCTTTCTGTAAATAAGCTACACACTAGCATTTAAGCTAAGGGCCATTTTGTAAGCTATAACTGATAACTGACCAGTAAATCCTTAAAAATCATCATCTACATTTAATTTCCTCCTGGAAACCGAGTTGGTTCATGACTACTACTTCGGGGGAACTCAGAGCCCTCTTCATGGCATCGAATTCAATACACCGCAAAGTACTTACAAAACACATGTTTGGGTTTAGCAACATAGCCGTATATCAAAACAGTTACTTTCTAACACTAAAAGCTGATTTTCAGCATTGTCGCCTTCTCACGAATAAATCTATGGAAAGTCCAATTTCCAATTAAGCTTTTTTCGAAGTGAAATGTAACTAAGTTTATTTAGATTTGTGGCACTGCAAAGTGATTTACCATTTACATTAGGGCAGCCAGGATATCAGATTTACACCACGTGATTATTAAGTTAAGGCCAAAAGGACGATATTATTCCGTTATCTACAGAACATTTGAAAAAATAAGATATTACTAATAATGCTAGTGGTCAAATTCAACTTTAACTTGGTTTATTATGTGTTTTGTCTTCTTTTTTGGCAAATATGAGTGTAAGGAGGTGGAGAGAGAGTCTGTCACCATACCTGTATATATAAAATGATTTAAGAGGTGCTGGATTATTAACACAACATCATATTTGTATTATTAACATGATATCAATAGTTCAATTTAAATATTACGGTTATCTTTAATACTGGAATATCGCAACAACCCTAATTTACACTTTGCAATATTTATACTTTTACTTCTCAACATAGGCATATTGCACTTTTTACTCCACTACTGTACCTGATGGCTGTCATTTAACCACCTACAACATTAAAATACCTCTTGCACATTAGTGCATTCAGCTTATTTAGTGCTTTAGCTTTTGTACTTAGGCACACGGTACAAATCCATTTTGGTGTTGCAATGTTTATCTAATATAGATTTCATTTCTTCAGTTCAGTTATTGACGAAGGAATCAAGTTTTTTGATGTTATTACCAATATATTAGGTTTTCCACATGGTTTCTGCAGTAAAAATCATCTGCCGTTGACTACAATGGAATTAATCCGAGTGTGCACTTTTAGATGTATAGATACGTTTAATATATTCAAGTCTATGGATGCCGGGTGATGGAAAATAAGAGCAAGATATTTGGAGAGTCTTTTAATGTCAATCATATTTTAATTTTGCACTTTTCTTTTTTTTTTATATGCTAGCCTATAGTTAAATTCCCATCAGTGATCCTTTTATACCTTTAACATTTGTCTTAACGATTTCTGTTGAATTTCAACTCTACTTGACATTATCATGTCAATGTTCACATCATTGGTGATATGACATAGAGCAGGTGATTGATGCCTAACTCACACTGAGGTTATAAGATTAGAGGTGGTATAAAAACATGTTGTGTATGTCTGTATAGCAGCACTGGGATCAGTTCATAGTCATTCAGTCATTCCTATGTATGTGAAAGTAAACCCTGGTTGACATTGTTAATGGTTGACTTCAAAAGTCTACATTTCCCCAAACAATCATGTTTTAAAGGTTTTAAAACAGTTTTCTGTGTCAGAAAAAAACCCAAGAATGTAGTTACATCTTCTCTCTGCTATAACTGAAAGTGAACTGCACCACAGCCCTGTTATATGACGTCTTGCCTCTTGGCCTGTGTCACCAGCTTCACAGGGAGATGCTGATCATACATTATACTATATTATACAGCATTTGTTGCCATGTGGATTATTCTAAACAACTGCTCACCCATTTTTTTATTCATGTAGATATGACCATAATCAGGGCAATGTCCTGTACTATCATCTTAATAACAACCTGCTCGAGTCCTTTAACAGCCACCAGAGTGTGTTGGATATACAATACACCTCTGTGCCTTCATTTCCCTGCTTGGCTACAGTCACACTGTTGGGAGTTGGCGTATCGTATAGCACAGATGGTAACTCCCTGTGCAATCTGCATTCAAATCTGCCAGTTAGTTTATTGTGTGAAGGTCCAAATTATACACAAATGAGGTGAAACGGGTAAGAAGTAGTAAAGAACCCTCAACCAAACTCTGTAGGAAACTGTAGTTAACATAAGCAGTTGAAAATATACCAGATGAAACATCTGGATCCAGTAACACTCACAGCCTATAATCTCGGTGCATTACACACTATACACTCTGCCATCAGAAAGAACACATACTCTGTCTAGTTTCAAGATAATGCATAGATGACATGTTTTCATGTTTATCTGATTATGACAGTGTTACACACATGAACCTCACAGGCCTGAACTGAATGAAGGATCAAAGAAGCACTGAAAAACAAGAACTCTCAAAGGAAAGACTAAACCAGCATTAACTTTCATTGTGTTCTCCTGCAATAAATAACCCTTGCATACATTTTACCTTCCAAGCAGTCACCGTCTCATGCACCTGCACATAAATATTGGATGTGCAATCTATTTTTAACTTTATTTTCAAACCCAATATTTGTTAGTATTTGGCTATTTTAGGTTGATTTCCCTTAAAGAAGCTACAAGGCTCAGGTGAATCTGGGTTCTGTTATTCTTGCCTTCTGCTAACCAACTAAGTGACTAAGTGCTAAACCAGACCAGTGAACTGTATTACTGCACAAGTCCCCCTTTGTTGCTCTGATACTGTATGTGTTGATGCTGGCTGCTACCTGTAATGTGAAATTGCAACAGATAGTGATGGATAGTATTACCTATTTAACCTAGTCGATATGTTTATGCATATTGTTTGTGTAATAGTTTGTTTTTATAAATCTACCTACATATAAAGCCATTGACTGCAAATTTGACAATATCTGGTGTTATTTTTGACCATTTCTGATCGCAAAGTGTCATTTGCACAAACTCACACATTTATGGAATTGCATTTTAAGGACTAAATAAGTGCACCGTTTTAAAAAAATGCGAACGTGTGAAGTCTGGTGAAGACTTTGATCATTTAACTGTAAAAACTAACCAATGGCAGAACGAAGAAGGGGTCTAATGGTTGAGTAGTTGTGTGCACATACACAACATCTCAGAGGGATCGGTGCTGGATGAAGAAAAATCTATAAGATTGCAATACAAATAATAGAGCCCCATTTGGAATCACCCACTATAGGTCCTCAAGTAAATACCCACAGGAAGGAAATGAGTAATTCACTATGTATATTGCAAAATGACCAATCACATAATCATCCAATTATAATCATATGGGTAAAAATATCTTTGTTACGAGGAAAATATATCAATCAATACACACAAGATTCAATAAAAATGTCAAACGCTCACTTCAATTAAGTAATACATTGTGAGCCATATAACAAGATACAATGACTCATCAAGAACTGTTAATATAAATAGAATAAGTGGCATATTATAAATATTGTTATATATGCAGGTTGCTATGTGTACATATAGATCCAAGGGGGATACTAATCCTATAGAAGATATGCCTACAACAAAGGCTTAATGTCAACGTCCTCATTTAAACCGTCAGGGGACAAGGTGATGATGGAGTAGATCCAATAAGCCTTATTGTGATCACTACCTCTAGGCTGCTAATAGCCTCACTGAAGTTCACCGAGCATCCACAAAGAGACAGTGTTGTTATGTCTGTAGTTTGAGATGCATCTTAAGGACAGCGATGGATTCTGATCAGAAGGTTGCAGTTTCAAAACTACCCGGCACTAAACATCAACCGTTTCAACAAATGAATCTATAATGCTTTTGTTTCCCTATGAGGAAGGCAGTTAACCTGCTAATTGCTCCATTGAGCACCAATCAGGAATAAAAGGCTGACGTTGTGCTGAGGAAGTGAATGCTCAGCAAAACTGGGTGGTCTCTGGAAAAAGCAAAAAGTTAATAGGAAAAGGAAATGCAGTGAAAATAAAAATGGGAGCGAATACTTTCATCTAGTTTTGATGTATTTAAAAAACAAATGAGCTGAATGAAAGAGCATAATAAGACAAATGACGGCAGTGTACTGAGGCCCCGAATCTCTAATTTTTCACTTTACTTGTCCTTTAAAACCAAATTCTTCTGTAGAATGTCGCAGGAATGAGCCCTAAAACATGGAAATGAGTCAGTACTTTTACATTCCTGGCTCCCTCGTCTCTAAGTCAATGGTTGTTTTTATTAAATGGGTTTTTGGTTAGATGCCTGGAATAAGGTCTGTGGTTAACGCAAGCTTAAGCGATTTTAACGTTTGGTTATACGACATAACGACATGGGACATCAGTAAATATCCCACTTGTGAATACTGTAGCTTTTACGTGTCTTGAAAAAGGCAATTTTTTCAAGACACGACAAGTGGCTAATTGACTCAACGTCATCATGCCGAACACTAGTCCGCCTTTAGCTACGTGGTGGTGACATAAAGTCATGCGACCGAGGTGTAGTTTGTTTATATATATGTAAAGTGGTGTTCATTTGTGAATATAATGTTGCTGAACAAAACCCGTAAGTATCATGAATGTTTGTTTGCAACAGAGCTTATTTTTTCCAATAATTTAAAATCCAAATGGCTTTTTGTCGAGGGGATGGCCTACACAGATTGTCAGGTCGGCCTATAAAAACACATCATCCCTGCAGCACTCTGTGGGGATAAGTAGAAAGCAACACAGACAATTTCACTTATGGTATTAGTTCACAACAATACTTGCAATTATCAGATCAAGTCTACATTATTTTGTCGACTAAACTCTTTGGTATTAAACCATGATAGCAGAGAAGGTAACTTTTCCAGATGGTGGATATCTCGCCATGCAGCAGAAATGCTTTGCAGACAGATGTGAAGCGTACTTGGTCCATGGCCTTTAGATCAGCACCCGTCCTTAGAGAGAGTGGATAATAAATGCAGACAGACCTAGCCTGTCCTTGCTCCCTGCAGCGGAGTAGCTGAATCAGCTCAGTTAGTGGCACAATTATGAGTGTCCATGTGACGTTTGACAAACGTTAACCTTCTCTCCAACTACAAGGGTACTGTCAGTCTGGCCTAAGTTGTTAGCGCTGCAGTACCTCCGTGACAAAACCCAGTGAGTCACACCGACCCTCCTGCTGCGGTGACAAATCCTTCCATGACACATAAGGGTGACTTGGACTTCTCTTCCTATAGGCTCTGCTTTAGCTGTAAGTTCATCTTACTTTGATGTAAACAAGTTGGAATATGAGAAGTTGGAATATGAGAAGCCTATACTGTAACGAATTTACGGTGGAGTTACAATCTTACAATCTCATTTGGTCTGTTTCATAACATCAGGTTGCTAAAGTTGGCAAAGCAAGCTCTGCAACGTTAAATTGTAAAATTAATCACCAATTACAGTGTGAAGATGTAACGTTGGTTACCTAACTGTGTTTATTTGAGCTACTATAGAGTCAACTGTAGAACCGCAAACCAGAAGGAATGGGATGATGTTCAAAAAGGGAGTGGAGTTGCCAAAGTATGTCTCTACAACGATGAAGAAGTAAGGCAGTCAAATTCTCTCTCACTGTTTGCTTTCTCTTCTCTTTCTCGTTCACACTGTCATGGAGTTCGTGCAGGTCACAATTACATGTCTGAACTGTGTGTAATTATTTTTCTTCCAAACATTCAGTACCTCTTCAGTTTGGGAATACAAATGTCTTAATATTATTATTTATTTAATATATGTTAAAATACCCCATATTGCCGCCACAGCAGATTCGGAGCAACATTTAAATTCCAAATTGAAATCTCCCATTTCTTCTCTGGTTTTTGGTCTCCACCAACTCCTAAGGGAAATATCTGGCTCTTTAGCTGCTAAATGTTCCATAAAATTGGTTGCCATCTTTGTCCATCTGCTGTTTTGTGCAGGGCAGTGTATTTGGTTTACCCAAGCTTATCTGTTGAAAATGCTAGCAGTTAAATCCTGGAGCATGCTAACAATGACAACGCTAATATGCTAATGTACGGCAGGTAATGTGTCCAAGTTCAACATCTTAGTTTGAATGACAGCATTTGCAAATTAGCACACACAACACAAAGGTTAGTTGAACTACATTAAACTTATGCACCAATCAATCCAATATATTTTGGCGATTGCAACGTTGAAATATCATTCTGGACCAGAGTGATGGACCAACTGACCACAATAACCACCCATAGGGCTTTACAGCTTGCATGGCTAAACATATTGGTTAGAGAGGTAAAGTTGTGAATCAGAAAAATAGTACACACCTTCACAGTGAAAATACTAAGAGGCAGCTGGTCAGAATTCAGGCATCAACACTAAAAGGATTGTGTTGTTAAAAATGTAGATTTAATGGCAGCTCCAGTGCCATCAAAAGATTCAGATTTGTGTTTCTTAATACGCAGTGACCTCAAAGTGTGTGTGGGTGTGAGAGAAAGTGAGAGACAGAGAAAAGATGGATGCTTTTAACAGGTAAGTGTTTGAAAGCCGAATTTTTTCCGTCAGCTGTCCTGAAGGTTTTACTGGAAGAACTGCATTCCCACTGCTTAATGTTTCATTCAGCACTGATATGCATAATTAAGGGATTCATGTACCATTTTTGAAGGTTACCCTGGCACTTTGAGCACAGAATAATTAAAGTTTGCGCTGCACAGTAGCAGAGTGTCAGGTTCTTAGTTTTAAGTAACAGAATATCTGCAATTTGTCATGTTTCCTACCGGTGATGTTTTGCAGTTAGACATCCCGTAATCTCATTTATATATATATATATATATATATATATATATATATATATATATATAT